TGAGGAATCGAACCCAGGGCCTCAGGCATGCAAGGCAAGCGCTCTACCATTGAGCCACCTTCCCAGCCCTCTGTTTTTTATTTTTATTTATTTATTTTTCATTTTTTGGAGGAGGGTGGGGGTTCCGGTCGTGGGGCCTGAACTCTGGGCCTGGGCGCTGTCCTTCAGCTCTTCAGCTCAAGGCTAACACTCTACCATTTGAGTCAAAGTGCCGCTTTTTTTTTTTTTTTTCTTGCTTATGTGGTGCTGAGGAATGGAACCCAGGGCCTCATGCATGCACAGTAAGCGCTTTACCACTGAGCCACCTTCCCAGCCCGATAGTCTGTTTTTTAATCTGGTTAGTTTTGAAGTGCAGTTCTCTGACCTCAGCTTTCTGAGTAGCTAGGATTACATGTGAAAATAAATAGTACTTAGCACATTCCATGTTTTCATTTTTTAAATCCTTTGAATTTTACAGCATAATGCATGCTACTTCTCAGTCACCCTACCACTTGAGCCACACCTCCGGCCCTTTGGTTATTTTTGGGAGATCTTGCTTCTTGGTTGGGCTAGCCTGTATTACATTCCTCCTATTTACACTTCTTGCGTGACAGGCATGTACCACCAAGCCTATTGAGGTGGCATCTTGCTAAATTTTTGCCTGGGCTGGACTTGAACTTTGAAATCTGCTTCTCTATTAACTGGAATTACAGACAAAAGGCACTGTACATAGCTTGACTTTTCCTTTCTTAAAATGACTCTGGAATAAAAGAAACCATACAACTCCTTTTGGAAGTCTTTGCAACCTTATATAAGAAGGCTTCAGGGCGTCACACTGCTGGAGAAGTTTTAACACCTTGACTTTGAGTGTGATCCTGGGAGAATGGACTTTTGTTGTGGCCAGTTTGTGATTTAAGATCTGGGATGCTAAATCTCACAAGGTTTTCACCAAGGCAGCAAGAGCAGAGCTAGAGTGTTGTTTACAGTTTTGTGTTTTTTATTTTTTCCCTTCCATACAGTGCTCTGGTCTGGGGTCTCTCTGTGAAACATAACCCTCAAAAAGTCGGTAAAGATCATACGTTGGAGGATGAAGATGTCATTCAGATTGTAAAGAAGTGAAACCTCTTCATGATCTGCTGGACCCGCAGCAGCTTTCCCTATAGCCAAGCTCCCCCTCAGGTCTTCTGGATACAGAAACGGGGGTGGGTGGGAGATAAGGCATCCAAACTGGAACACCACCTGTCTCACCTTGGTGTCACCTTCCCTGTTGAACTGCATAAAGGATCTGGTAGGCCTCTTGGCTAGGCGCAGTTCCTGTGTCATTGTCAGATTTGTTTGGGGATGGGCTAAATGTGGCAGGGCAAGTACATAAAGGGAGGCAGTTGCAGAAGAAGTACTTGGCAGATTGGCTTTGGCATGATATTTAATATCTTACTTGATTGTAGTGATGGGAGACCTTTCCACCTGGATGTGGTCTTCCATCCTGTCCAGCGTTCTCCCCCGCCCCCCCCCCATGATCCTAGAGAGAAGACTGACTTGATCTAAGTTGACTGCTGCAAAGCTGGCCCATGCTGGGAGATTGTATATACAGTAGGGCAGTAGAGTAAGCTGTGGTGGCCAGATTGGGGTTTGAATTTTAAGTCTACTTCCAAATTACCTGGGAAACTCTGAAGCATTTACTCAACATTTATGAACCTTAGTTCTGTCATGTGACACGGGAACAACAGTAGGTGGTGATAAAGGTATTAAAAGAAATGGCACTTGTGAATTGCTTAGCATAGCATCTGGCATACAAGTATTGAGTGGATGTTAGCTCCTGTTATCACTGGACTCTTTCCTTTCCTGGGCCCACTGTACTTTTTAAGTGTTGAGCTGAACCAGCTGCTCATCTTGCCAGCCAGCCCTTT